CAAAATTTTTATTGGATTTGCCTAGTTTCAGAGATGGTTTCAAAAAGCATAAATAAGCTTTCAACCTCTTTTCTAGGTCTTGAAAAAGAAAAAACCTCAAAAAGTGAAATGAAATTTCCAGCGCAAAAGCCTTCGTCCAACTCAAGAAATCAATTTTCAATTGCGGCGTCAAATTTTGTTTGTTCACGTGCAAAATAACCCGCATTGACAAAAAAAATGGATTAGGATTGATTTAATATGACAAAATTGTGTAGATTTAATTGAGGTTGATTTTAGAATGAAAACAGTACGAAAATTGAACAGTAAAGGTTAAAATTGATTTGGATCACTTTTAAATCGATTTTATCGATTTAAGTCGATTTTTTTATTCGACATTCATCAATTTCGAGTTTGTAGTGCATCCATTGATTGCCCACGTTTTTTAGTTTTTTATCTATAGCGTATGTTAGCATAATAAAAAAGACTAAATTCATTCAAAATCATCGATAACATTTTTTGATTTCCTTGTTTTTTTGAGCCCACAATTTGATTCAATGTGACAGTTTTTTTGATTTGTTACTTAAATTTTTAAAATTTTGTCCAATAATCTGATTTACGGTGATGATTTTCTATTGCATTTTCATATTGATTTTCTATAGAGTTCATTGCATATTTTCCATCTTAAAATCTGATTTTTGCTTGTGATTTTTTTTGCGAACCATTTTTGTCATAGAAGCTCGAGAAAAATTATTTCAAACTTTTTTTTCAGATTGCATGTTGTTTGAAGAAAAATTGATTTGAGCCCATTTGAAATGAATTTTTTAGGCACCTAAATTGATCTGTTTGGATGGATTTTATTGAGTCGGAAAATTCATCCAAAACGATTTAAATCGATTGGTTAGATACTTAATTCGATCCAAAATTTTAGAGAAAGATCGATTTAACCTCCAGTTCAGTTCCTAAAATGTGCATTTTTCATCAAAACGGGTCTTAAATCGATTGAAAACCTTTTTTGTCAGTGAGTGAAGAATTTAGGTTTTCGATGCTCGTATTAGTTTTGGCTATCATTGTATTCGGCTATGCGATGCATGATTGAATCGCTTTGATGACATTTACAACAAGCAGTTCTAAATATTTTGCCGACTTTTCTAAATTTTCTTGAGAAAAGTTTGTTGCTGATTGGGTAATTTGAATACCGAGCAAGCAATTGTGTAGTTTTATTTTCAAGGGATCGGTACTAAACAAAGTCACTTATCATTGGTGTTAATTTACCTCAAAATGAAAAATTGTTCAGCCAATTCTGGTCCTAGTGCCAAAAATAGATATCGGAAGCAAACTTTAACTGTTGAACGTCTTAAATTGAAACTATATTGGTTGAGATTTTGGACATAAAAGCAAAAGAAGTCAGGCAAAAGATAGTAGTTATAACAATTTCTGCTTAAAAATTATTTAAAATCATTTTTGCTTTTGACTGGCTTTGCCCTGATACGAGAAGTCTTGTTAGACCTTTGAGGCTTAGTTTTATTCAAACTCTTTCCTTTGTTCACGATTTTATCGGAAGTTTATGTTTTTTCAATGTTCTTTGTGTCAACAACTATTCGATACAGGTTTAAACGGCAGTCTTGATAATCAGGGTTTTGCCCTGATACGATCAGTCTTGATTGTTTTTTGTTTTATCACTAATCTAGTTCAGCTAAAATTGACTAGAAATTTTTTTGTTTTTTCAATGAGACTGATAAGGAGGCTCAAGTATAATTGTTTGTTGTCCATGGAGTTTTATTGCAGGCAAATACATGGAATAAATTTTTTTTGAAATATGCATGGAAATGGCAACAAAAGTGTGCGTTTAAATGAAAAAAGCATGGCAAGACTTAAGCGAAAAAACTTAAGCGGCGCGACTTAAGAAAAGACTGACGGCGCGACTTACGAAAAGACTGACGGCGCGACTTAAGAAAAAACTGACGGCGCGACTTAAAAAAAGACCGACGGCGCAACTTAAGAAAAGACTTAAGCGGCGCAACTTAAGAAAAGACTTAAGCGGCGCGACTTAAGAAAAGACTGACGTCGCAACTTAAGAAAAGACTAACGGCGCGACTTAGGAAAAGACTTAAGCGGCGCGAATTAAGAAAAAACTTAAGCGGCGCGACTTAAGAAAAAACTGATGGCGCGACTTACGAAAAGACTGACGGTGCGACTTAAGAAAAAACTGACGGCGCGACTTAAAAAAGACTGACGGCCCAACTTAAGAAAAGACTTAAGCGGCGCGAATTAAGAAAAGACTTAAGCGGCGCGACCTAAGAAAAGACTAACGGCGCGACTTAGGAAAAGACTTAAGCGGCGCGAATTAAGAAAAAACTTAGGCTGCGCGACTTAAGAAAAAACTGATGGCGCGACTTACGAAAAGACTGACGGTGCGACTGAAGAAAAAACTGACGGCGCGACTTAAAAAAAGACTGATGGCGCGACTTACGAAAAGACTGACGGTGCGACTTCAGAAAAAACTGACGGCGCGACTTAAGAAAAAACTGATGGCGCGACTTACAAAAAGACTGACGGTGCGACTTAAGAAAAAACTGACGACGCGACTTAAAAAAAGACTGACGGCGCAACTTAAGAAAAGACCTAGGCGGCGCGAATTAAGAAAATACTTAAGCGGCGCGAATTAAGAAAAAACTTAAGCGGCGCGACTTAAGAAAAAACTGATGGCGCGACTTACGAAAAGACTGACGGTGCGACTTATGAAAAAACTGACGGCGCGACTTAAGAAAAAACTGATGGCGCGACTTACGAAAAGACTGACGGTGCGACTTAAGAAAAAACTGACGACGCGACTTAAAAAAAGACTGACGGCGCAACTTAAGAAAAGACCTAAGCGGCGCGAATTAAGAAAAGACTTAAGCGGCGCGACCTAAGAAAAGATTTAAGCGGCGCGACTTAAAAAAAAGACTCAAGCGGCGCACCTTAAGAAAAGACTTAAGCAGTGCGAATTAAGAAAAAACTTAAGAGGTGCGACTTAAGAAAAGACTTAAGCGGCGCGACTTAAGAAAAAGCTGACGTCGCGACTTAAGAAAAGACTTAAGCGGCGCGACTTAAGAAAAGACTGACGGCGCTACTTACGAAAAGACTGACGGCGCGACTTAAGAAAAAATTGACGACGCGACTTAAAAAAAGACCGACGGCGCAACTTAAGAAAAGACTTAAGCGGCGCGACTTAAGAAAAGACTCAAGCGGCGCACCTTAAGAAAAGACTTAAGCAGTGCGAATTAAGAAAAAACTTAAGAGGTGCGACTTAAGAAAAGACTTAAGCGGCGCGACTTAAGAAAAGACTGACGGCGCTACTTACGAAAAGACTGACGGCGCGACTTAAGAAAAAATTGACGGCGCGACTTAAAAAAAGACCGACGGCGCAACTTAAGAAAAGACTTAAGCGGCGCGACTTAAGAAAAGACTCAAGCGGCGCACCTTAAGAAAAGAATTAAGCAGTGCGAATTAAGAAAAAACTTAAGAGGTGCGACTTAAGAAAAGACTTAAGCGGCGCGACTTAAGAAAAGACTGACGGCGCTACTTACGAAAAGACTGACGGCGCGACTTAAGAAAAAATTGACGGCGCGACTTAAAAAAAGACCGACGGCGCAACTTAAGAAAAGACTTAAGCGGCGCGACTTAAGAAAAGACTCAAGCGGCGCACCTTAAGAAAAGACTTAAGCAGTGCGAATTAAGAAAAAACTTAAGCGGTGCGACTTCGGAAAAGACTTAAGCGGCGCGACTTAAGAAAAAACTGACGGCGCGACTTAAGAAAAGACTGACGGCGCGACTTAAGCCCGCGGCGCGACTGCGAAATCCAGTCTGAAAACGGTATGCGGCGCGACTTATAAAGTCTTTTCTTAAGTCGCGGACCTCGACCCGGGAAGGTCTATTCAAAATAATACATTTTTTTTGATATATCAGGAGAAAGTCTGTCGGTAGCCCGAAAACGGCCTATTTACGGATAGGGTAAGACAAAAAAATTAAAGTTGCTATGGAACTTGTGATTTGTGTTGTTTTTTCCGATCTCGATAGTGTGACTCTTTTAAATTGGCCTTGAATTGCAGTTGGAACATTCAGGTTTTTGCCCTAGACGGCGCGACGGTGTGACTCTTTTAAATTGGCCTTGAAGTGCATTTGGAACATTCAGGTTTTTGCCCTGATGTACAAGCAGTCTTGTTATGATTTTCATACAGTAGACCTAGCAGTATCAGAGCACCAAATGGAAACAGCAGCCAACATCCAGTAGCAAGAGCACGGCAACAGAGTTAGGGCATTCTTCTTGCCGAGCAAATTCGTACTTCAGCAAGCCGGACGGTTTGAAGGTTTGCAAATTTGAAAAGAAAGTTTGCTGCGGCCAGGCAGCTAGCACAGTGTCTGAGGTTTGGCCTAATTCCGATTACTACAGCTCATTTTGATTATAATTTGTGAGCCTGTTCCTGCGGTCAAATTCAATGTCAAAAGGACGGATCTAGAATTTTCTTGAGGGGGGGGGGCGGATTTTCAAAAAAGTTTTGAAAATTTTGTCGAGATACTTTTTTTTAGGTCGACAAAATTGCAAAATTGATTTTCCGAGCTCCCAAAAAGCACTACAAAGACCCTGTTTAGGCAAAAAAATTTTGGGCTGCATATGTGTTTTGGGCAGTTTTAGAAAAAAATTTTAGGGGAAACCAGCCAAAAATGGAGGTCCTAAAATAGTACTACAGGGACGAGCCTTTGGTAGTCAGGGGGTCGAATCCCTGAAAGAAAAAGAAAGAAAGTGTGTGTGTGTGTGTGTGTGTGTGTGTGTGTGTGTGTGTGTATGTGTGTGTGTGTGTGAGAGAGAGAGAGAGAGAGAGAGAGAGAGGGAGGAAGAGAGAGACCCCCACCTAAATCCGCTGCTGGTTGTTTCAGTAACCCGGGTTACAGTAGTAACAGAATCATGAGAGTCAAAAATCTTGAATGAAAAAAAAAAAGCTCGGATTACTCAGTTGGAGTAGGAAAGGTTGCTAATTTGATTTTTAAAAATTGCCAATATTTTTTTCATTACATCTTATTCTGCAATGGGCACGTTAAATCAGAGTAAAATTTACTGATCTCAAAAATAGTTTGAATTATTTTGTGTCTAGTCTTGATAACAGGGAAACTTTAGCCTGATTTAGTAGTTTGAATGCTTCTTCTGATCTGGGTGCGGCACATTTGTCCGGGTGAACAACACCGGCTAATTTCCGGTAGGCTTTCTTCACATCATCTTCAGTAGTTTTGTATGAGTTTAAACCAAGTCGTTCGAAGTTATCACTTGCTGATATTATTTTCTCAACTGTTTCCAAATCTTCTTTCGAATATCCCACCGAATTCGCGGGGGGTTTTGAAGCTAGTTTGCCTCCATTTTCGAATGCCTCAGTTGCAGTTGAAAAAACTAGATCGAATAACTCGTTCACACCTGTACCGTCAAAAGCGGAACATTCTGCGTACATAAAACCATGAATAGCCGCCCAATTCTTACCATCGACCGCGGGAACATTTCGATTCTTGTCAATTTTATTCGCACATAGTATACACTGCACTTTCGATAAGTTCGAGTCGCCGCCTATTTCTCGCTTAGCTTCCTCGTACCAAGAGTCGAGATTCCGAAACGAGTCTTTGCTGGACGAATCAAAAATTAGTAGAATGCAGTTCGTGTCGGGGTAAAACTCGCGCCGTACTTCGTAAAAGGCGGGATGACCGGACATGTCAAATATATTGAGTTTGGTCGCTCTGCCATTTGTGACACTCTGAAACATGTTAAGAACCCAGGTTAATAATTTGCTCCTTAATTTTTCAAGCTTTTGTTGACGCGAAAAGCTGCAAAGTCTCTTAATTAAGACTTTTTACGGTTACAAGCTAAATATATTTGTTTCAAGACATGTACTTTTGAATAGCAAATTTCAAAATTACGAAAGAAATTTTGATCTGCTTATCCAAATGCTTGTACTGTAGAATTTCACATTAAACTACAAAAAAGTCACAAAAAATTATAGTAAAATCACAACAAAACTACAAAAAAAAAACGATTTAACAATAAAACAAGGATAGCCGTTACTGTGCAAGTAGCACAGATTGTGTTCCGACCATAGTTTAAAAAATTACAAAAAAGTCTTAACAAACGCAAAAATGTTCCGACTATAGTCTAAAAAAAATACAAAAAAAGTCTTAAAAAAACGCAAAATTGTTCCGACCATAGTCTAAAAAAATACAAAAAAAGTCTTAAAAAACGCAAAATTGTTCCGACCATAGTCTAAAAAAAGTCTTAAAAAACGCAAACTTACAAAAAGTTTTTTCTTTAAGTTTTTGATTCCCAAAATGAAGCACGCAAAATGCATAAACTAACTTTACTCGAGTAAAACTAATTTTACGTTTAAAAGTAAGCATAAATAAACTATTTTAAGCATTCTTGCTCACCTAATTAGCTCGAAATTAGAACAAAAACCAAAAAATTGAAACCAGTTGTTCTCAACACTGGCGACACTTTTAGAATTTTTTTAACGCCGTTCGAATCACGACTGAAAAGGTCGTAATAATATAAATCATTCAGCCCATTCAATGATTATTTGTGGTACCTGATTTTGCCTAGAAAACAAGAAAAAAAAAGAAAAAACTAAAAAACAACCGAATACGAAGTTTCTCCCCATTTTAATGGTCGGAACAATTACAAAAATTTCACAACAAAATAGGAAAAAAGTAGAATTTGACCTTGGTGACTCCGTAGTCTATCCCGATGGTCATCAGGTACTTGCTGACGAATCTCTTCTCGCAGTAGCGTTTGATGATGCAACTCTTGCCCACCTCTGGGTCGCCGATAGTTATCATCTTCACACGCAGTGGTTTCTTCATCTTTATTTTAACAGTAAAAGATATAAACTGTTAACAATTTTAACAGATTAATTGTTAATAATATTTAAAGCTTTTATAATTAGGAAAAAAACTTTTTTTTCTATTTTTTTGCCGAAATTTGCAATAAAATTTTGGATGACTTTTTTTTTCGCAGAAACTGCGAAGATTTCTTTTTATTGTTTTTATAATAACTCTAACAAACTTTACTGAAGAAATATTTTTTAATCAAAGCAAGCTGATCTTTTTGATTTTATAATGTAAATGCTTACAATAATTTATAATAAACTCAAAATTTATTAAACCCTAACACATTAAGTTAGTGCAATAATTGAATTCATCGGCCATATGAAGAAAAAAATGGTTCGATTAAATACGTTTGTTTCTTCAGAATGGTATGAAGAAAAATGTATGTGATGAATATGCATATGAAAGGTAAAAAACAGGTGATTTTATAAAACGTTTGAATTGAACTGTTCAATGGTTCACGTGCATAAACAGACCATTTTTATTTGTATAGATTTGAATGTTGTAAACAAATGATATAGATTAAAAACATTGAAAATCAGCCACGCGTATTTTTGGAGATCTTTGCTTAAACATTTTAATACTTTTCGAAATTAAATAGATTTTTAACTTCGGTTTTTAAACAAAGAAATTATTTAATTTATCTTCATTAACGTCAATAACAATTATCTTCGTGGATCAATTGTCTGTAACCACAGATTGTCAAACTAACCAAATTGACTCTTTTATTTATTATTTCTTCCATGGCTTTTGATTACATATTGCATCTTATTTTTGCAGCGTGATTTTAAAAAGACTTCAAAATCAGAGCTACAGTCAAACTACCTAACATAGAACTGTAAAAAGTATATAATTCTGGTCTAAATTCAATTCTTACCGTTTTTTTGCAGAAGATTTCTATCTTACCAAATTTGCAAACTAATTGCCAATAATTGCACCAACGATTGAGAAATGCCGCCGAGCCAGTGTAGCTTATCGTGGTTTGTGAAGAAGCCAGTCTACCTGTCTGTCTCCCAATCCGACCCCTCCGACCTCACTCACTCGGGGGTGGCGGTGATTGACGTCATGTTTCCCACTGTCTCCTCCTTCCCCTTCAGCCAAATGTCCTTCAAAAACAACTACACTGCATTCATAACACTCAAAGGTACACTCAAACAATTCTCACAAATTTTCACACTACTGGACAAAATTATGCGAAAATTCAGGTTTTTACTCTCTAAAATGCTCTTTTTTAAAGTCCTTTTCGGACAACCTGTACTTCGATTTTCAGCAAATTTTTTACATAGACTAAGAGCAAATGATCAAAGCTGCCTTCCATGAAACAATCAATATTTAATTTCAAAAAGTTACCAATTTTCTCCGGGTCTGAATTTGCCTATTTTCATCACCCACACTAATTTTTTCAAAACGCGTGAAATTGTAAGAAACAGCTGAGTTTAGTATAGTTGTTACCAGGCCCCGGATATTAGTTAAATAACTATTATTCGTAGTTAACTAACTTTTTTAACAAAAAAAGATGGAAGTAACTTTTTGTTGGTTTGTACTTTTATTTTAACTATTTCTAAGAAATAGGTTTCTGCATCGCTTGTAGCAATCTGAATAAGTTTGCTAAAAGGTCGCAGACGAAATTCGTTTTCTCAGAAATGTGTTCCCGCGCTTTCCGCTAGTTGCCGCTGTGTTTGCTTTTGTTTCGTCATCCAGCCACGCAAGCCAGACACGACAGTTGTGTTAATATTGAACCGAACAAAACTGACATGCCAAAAACTAAAGATAACCCTGCGACTCGTGCTCGCAAATACGCGTCAGAATTTACCGTTTTTAAAGCGGACAAAGGGCTTTTAATGTGTACCGCATGCGAGAAATCGGTCAGCTCAGACCAGAGAGGCCATGTTTTACAGCATTTGAAATCCACGATACACAAAGAAAACGAAAAATGGAGAACAACAAGTACACAGAGTTTTCTTCAGTTTGATTCTCCGGTGTCCTGTCAATATTCCGCAGACTTATGTGCTGCTCTGATTAGTGGAAATATTGCTTTCAACGCTATCAGTGACCCAGTTGTTAGGGCTTTCTTAGCAAAATACCACACTAAAGACAAAGTGCCCGACGAATCGACATTACGAAAAAATTACATGGAAAAAGTTTACATGGACAAACTGGGCCGATTAAGAAGAGTGTTGCAAATGTAATTGTTGGGATTCTGGACCCTGATTTCGATTACGACCCTTATATTTTGGATACCGTGTTTTTATCACAAACTAACAACACCACGATTTCGCAAACAGTTGTTAATTCGCTTACATTACTTTTTCCACAAGGAATTCCTTATGATTCTGTTCTTGGGTTTATCACCGACGGGGCAGCTTATATGAAAAAAGCGTATAAAGACACTCTCAGAAATATTTTTCCAAAAATGATCCACATTGTTTGCGTTATGCACGGGCTCCACAATGTGGCGGACAAGGTACGGCTAAACTTTCCTGTCGTTGACAAGTTTATACTGCACGCCAAAAAGTTGTTCCGAAAATCGCCTAAAAACCGCCAGTATTTCAAAAACTATGCGCCTGCATTGAAACCACCTCCCAGGCCTGTTATTACCAGATGGGGGACCTGGTTGGAAGCCGTTTACTATTATACCGAAAATTTGGAAGTTTTCCGGGAAATGTTGCCCTCATTGAAAGAAAGTGGTATTACTGACTCTTCCGCTTTGGAAGTCCTTTGTGAAATACTCGAAGAAAATTTTTCACAGCTCGAGGGGCAGCTTTGTTGCATTACTTCAAACTACAAAATTCTATCACGTTCCATTAAAATTCTGCAGAGTCGTATGAGTTTGGAAGAATCGATCAGACACTTGACCGAGTTACAACAAAATTTGGTCCATGAAATTGGAAAACAAAAACTTTCTCAAATTTTGAAGAAGAACACGGGACTAACAGAGATTATCCAAGTGGCAAGAAAATTGGAGTCCGGAACCCCTATTCCTGTTGATTACCGGGTTTCAACATGGAATGCAAAAGACTGTCTTGCTGCAAAAAAGATGCCACTTGAAAGCTGCGACGTCGAGAGATCTTTTTCAAAATACGCGGATGTTTTGTCTGATACACGACATTCATTGACTGAGACTTCTTTAAAGATGATTTTGTTTTGTTATAGTAACAAATCACTGTGAAACAATGAATTTTAATTAACTTTTTTGTAACTATTTTGATGCTTTTTCCTCAACTATTTAGTTAACTAAAAGCCGTTTTTATTTCAACTTTTATCCGGGGCCTGGTCGTATGAGTTTGGAAGAATCGATCAGACACTTGACCGAGTTACAACAAAATTTGGTCCATGAAATTGGAAAACAAAAACTTTCTCAAATTTTGAAGAAGAACACGGGACTAACAGAGATTATCCAAGTGGCAAGAAAATTGGAGTCCGGAACCCCTATTCCTGTTGATTACCGGGTTTCAACATGGAATGCAAAAGACTGTCTTGCTGCAAAAAAGATGCCACTTGAAAGCTGCGACGACGAGAGATCTTTTTCAAAATACGCGGATGTTTTGTCTGATACACGACATTCATTGACTGAGACTTCTTTAAAGATGATTTTGTTTTGTTATAGTAACAAATCACTGTGAAACAATGAATTTTAATTAACTTTTTTGTAACTATTTTGATGCTTTTTCCTCAACTATTTAGTTAACTAAAAGCCGTTTTTATTTCAACTTTTATCCGGGGCCTGGTTGTTACACTATTTATTTCATTTTTCTCGCTGAAAATCTTTCACTTGGCATGAACATCTTTTCTACTCCGCTTATTTGAGAAAGAGTTCACTACGATGCAAAACTTGGGGCAGATGAGAAAATACATTGATAAGTCTTTGAAATTAGTTATTGATAGTTTCATAGAGCGTAGTTCAGATCAATTGCTCTTGGTCGGTGGCGCCCCTCATGCCGGAGGGACCGAATGCTTGAAATTTATTTTGGCTTATTTTCAGCCAATCAGAATTGAGTATTCGAAAATCTCAGGAAAATTGCAAAAACCTCAAAGGAAGCAAATAAACCCAGGCCATTAGTGTTAATATTGACCGATTAGATAATAAGCAGATGAATGAAAATAATGATGGACCAAAGGCGGATTGGAATAATTTTAATATTTCAAGAAAACCGATTTAGGAAAAATGGAAAAACAAAAAACTAAATTTATTATATCTGCACCTATTATGTCGGCATCTATTATATTATTGTATCATTTTCTGTTAATATTGAGTTCGATTTTGTGAGGAAAGCATTTAGCCAAAAAGAACGCGTAGCGATTTTATTTGTTTGAAATTTTTCCAGCATTCGGTCTCTCCAGCATGAGAACCCTCCCCCTCTTGGTTTGCATAAAGTCTTTGTGAAAATTCAAATTATTTTTTGTCCAAAATGGTCTTTAGAGTTAGTCATTTCAGACATTAAAAACTTGGATTTGCGTTTAATTTTGTCCTCTTGAGTATGTATTGAGGTTTCTGGACAAAAAACATCTATTTTCGAGTTATTTTAAATCCTAAATTGATAACATATGTAATTGCTTCTGAAATTGCCCCATGATTTTTTTATAATGCTAAAAAGTTAACAATTCATGCACTTAGTAGACTTTTATGGAACAAATTTCCTTATTTTTAATCTCTGGCTTACTTGTTCTATATTTTAGTCAAGTGCAAAGACAGCACGAATGGAAGCCAAACATCCAAAACACCCCAACAGAGCAACTCGTCAGGAGTGACCATGGTCGGCAGAGAACCCAGTCGCGAGGCCCTGCAGACGTCGGCAGGGATCTCAAAAATCACTTCCAAATGGAAAACGGTGCTAAAGAATTTCCCACTGATGCCGAATCCAAATTCAGAAGAAGGCTCACAGAAAACATTTGTCATAACAAGGTATTAAAAAACAATTATAGCTTTTTCCTCTTTTCAATTTCCGCTTTATACCTCATACGTTTCTACACGTTTTGATACATTACGCCAAAAATACAACACTTTACAAGAAAATTTTCTTTTTGAGAGGCGCAAATTAATTAACGTGCTAGTTTATTGCAAATACTTGTGTTAATAGCCATTTAATGAAGTTTTTCTAAAAAATTGTTTTTGAACAATTTTTTTTTTCGAGCTGAAAAACTTTCATTTAATGGACATTCTTTTTGTTTTTTTTCTCGAAATTATGCACTTCCTTTTTAAATATCTTTCCAGAGGTAGAACGAAGTATTTCTTGACAGAAGAATTGCTTCAAAAATATTGGTTAATTTTTGCCGATAAATGTAATTGATTTTCTGAGCTCTCCCAAAAAACAAAATTTCCTACAGAAGTCCATGTTTGTTGCACCGTAGAAAATCTGGCTGAAAAGACTGGCTAAGATTCTTTATGACCAACCCTACATCTTTCTCAAATTTAGCATATTGGAAAATTTTTAATGTTGTTGGATCAAAACCAAAATTAATGTCGCAAATGGTACAAAAAGTGGGGAACTTTGAGCGATCAGGAGGACGAATCCCCGATGGAAAGCGTGTCTCCTATAGCCTCTTGCCCAAATCCACCTCTGAAGCTTAAGTTTTCTAATATAGATGATCTTCTTTGAGAAGAAACTTTTCTGAAAAAAATTGTTTTGGATTTTAGAGACGTGATGAGACAATTCAGCAGAGACGTGGTGCAGTTCAGACTGATAATCAGACAACCGTCTCCCTACTGGACAAATTTCGACATTGAGAACCTACACTTCGAACAGGAGGCCAAAAACAATCAGGACCACAACTCAGGTATACAGTCTCTAATATACTTCTAGTTATTGCTCCAGCTTAGAGATGAAATACAAGCACAGGGAAACAAGGTATTTATGTTGTAATTACAAGAAGATATCACGTAAATTGTTTCCAAGTAAGATCCATTTCTTGGAAGTAATTGTATGGTCAAAAAGAGATGAAGATTTAGAAGAGGATTTTTGATTTTTCCAGGAGTAGCATCAGGATATGCTAGGGTTTATTTCAGGGTCTCAATCCAAAGTTCAAATGTTCTAGTTCTAGTCGTTTGCTTAAAGGTGAAGCAGCCTTTCGTAGCCCATAAACACAACTAGAATTTACCTTTAAATTTGAATCATGTAATTCTTAATCATAGGGGAACAAAGGCGGTTTTCCATAAAAAGCAAAGGATAGTCTCTGTTCTTGGTTTTTGTCTTTGTTAAATATCTTTCTGCAATGTTTTTCTAGATTGAAAGACTCAAATAATTAGTTTCCAATTTGAAGACAATAAGCGTCAAAAAGCTGACTTCTTTGTGTGTTATTTAGCTCTTGCTCATTCGCTTGTAACGACCCTCAAAGAAATTAGCGAGCAAAATAAGGACAGTTCAACTAAAAACCCAGAACAGGAGGATTCAAACTCACAAGAAATTTCATCCTTGTCGAAGACAACAAAACCACAGAATTCGAGAAGGGGTTTAGAATTGAGAGCCGAAAAAGTAGGATCGATTCTTCAGAATATGTGGGCACTGACTGAACTGTATTCCAGGGTTAAACATACCGAGACAATCGGAAGATTCGACGTAGAAGGAAGTTACGAGATTAATTTATTGTCGTATAATTAAAAATAAACTATAATTTCAACATTTTTTTGTTCTCAACATCAATTGTTCGACCAGTGAACGTGGAAAGAACTCTGATCTCGGGAGTGTTTTTTTAAAACTCAAAATTGAATTAACAGTCAATGAAATTACAGAATATATAGTGACATATCATGTGCAAGCCCGACTAGTCATGATTGAACTGCAATGAAATTGCATTTAATTGAAATTTTTTCAGTTTCGATAAAAATGGAGTTTGATTTTTAATTTGAGACATAAGTACCAGATTTTGCTAGTACTGAGGTATTAATATGTTAGAGATATAGTCACAAAAGAGTATGAGCAATATAATGTGACCAATATTTTGAATTCTAAATCTTCAAAACATGTTTATTATAAGAACTTCTCTCATTTCACAAATATTTGGGCTATTGACGTGATTCTTTATTTAGTAGGGCAAAAGTTTGCTGAAAACTGATGCAATGTTTCATTAAGTTGATTTTCAATTCACGCTTGTTTTTTATCACTGCATTTTGAGCTGAAGAAGCCTCAACGGTATTGATATTAAACAACCGGATGAAATGAACCAAAACAAAATTTTCAATCACGTTCGGTGAACTTTGGACTAAAACTGGTCAGGACAAAAAATTTATTGGAGATTTACAGCTTTGTTTATGGTGTTATTTTTTTTTGTGGATTTTAGATCAAAATTAACCAATTAAAACGAGTCAATTCATTTGTTTCGAAAATAAGAGGACAAACAAGCTTTTTGTGTAGTATCAAATTTCTAGGCTGAGCAAAAGTTATTTAAAATTTTTTATGTCTGTTGGAGAAAAAGGAAGAAAAATCAGGCAAAATGAGAGCCAATGCCTTGTACGTTTGCATGGCAGTTTGTTTTTGATAGGTTTCAAAACTTGGTTTTCATTAATCAAACCTGGATTTATTTTTTCTTGCAAGGCTTGAGCTTTATTTAAAGTTGGTTGAAACGAGTTTGCTTCTATTTATAAATTATTTAGGGTTGTCAATCATTAATACTCAACTCTGATTACTAACTTTTTTCGATGAATCCCTCTTGTTGCTATACTTCAACAGCCATTTCTGGTTACCAACGTTATTTTTTCTACAAATGTTTTCGGAAGGAAAAATTTTGTCCAGACGCTCTGATTTTTTTTTTACAAAAAACCCTTATTGTATATCCCTCTAGAAAACTTGCATTTAGCACAAACAATTTGCCGAAAAATTTTTTCAGAGATTTCGACGGAAATAGAAAAGAAACTTGATACAACTGAATTAAAAATTTGGAGAAAAAATGCCTCTTTGCAAAAATTATGCACGAGCACTTGAATCGTGTTATTTTATTTAAAAAAAAGACAATTTAGGCTGACAATTTTTTGTTTTGTTTGTTTTTTCTATAATAAATTGAATTTATTGTTACAGACTTTAACGACTTTGCTAGTAGACCATATTTTTTGAATAGATGATTTTTTATCTAAAATTATCTGACAATGTTTAAAATTTGTGTGTACACAATTGTTGTTTTTTGTTATGTTACTCAAACTTTGGATTTCTTATCCTTAAATGGACTTAAATCTGTCCTTCAATGGACTAAATTTACGTAACAGGAATTTTTTTTAATGCTCAAATAATACAAGCAAAATATGTGATAGCAATTCTTGACAAAACACATATAAAGTCAAGTTCTTTTTTAGAATTTTTGTAAATACTAAACGCCTACTTTTTAGAGGCTGAATGTCCAAATGGGACCTAATTAAATTTTTAGCTAATCAGGATTCCTAGTATCAAAAGACACTTAGCATAGAGGTTATTTTATAGATAGTTTGGCGTTCACTTTAGGATCGTCAGATTGTGTAATTGATCCCCTGCTGTGGCAATGATATTGTGGGAGGCCTTTTTCGCAAAACAGGGGCTTAGTTCAAAAAAATAGAAAAGCCTAAATTGTGAAGAAATAACAGAAACGGAATAAGCTCAGACATGCTGGATAGCCTTTCATAGATCCTCTGCCAATCGCAGAAACCACTAATATTATGTTTATTATGATTACGATTATTATGATTATTATTATGATTATTATGATTTCTTTTATGATTATTTTTTTATAAAGAAGCTTCGATTGTTTGGTCTACTCTTTAAAGCCAATAAAGTTTTTTTGAGATTTAAAAAAATGTTGCGAAAGTGCAAAAAAATTGAAAAATTTATCCTCTTCTGTTTCTGAAATAAGTATACTCAAACAATGTAAAGTGCAAAGCAAAAAATGTTGGCGTCACGTGATTTAATAAAAATGTTTTTCTCAGTTCAATTTGGAAAGATACCACTTCGCTTACGCTTGGATAGGACAAAGTATAGTCCGCGTTAATCATTCTAGTTTGAAATAGTGTCGTCACGGTAATCTTAGTTTCGACCACCTTCAGCTTTAAACACATAGTTGCAGAAGATTTTTTTTGATTTTGATTTTGTTCATCAATGTTTTTAGATGGCATTAGAAAAGCCAGCCAAAAACGGCCAACTAAACACTCGTAAGTTTTCAAGAACCATCTCGAATTTTCCGAAAAGTCGCAATAAAACTTATGCTCTGTCGATGAAGGCTAAGATTAAAAATTTGAAAATTTACTTCATTTTTTTCAGCAAAAATCTAAAGCAGGGGCGGATTTAGGGGGGGGGGGGCGGACGCTTCCCCCCCTTCAGGGATTCGACCCCCTGCCGACCCAAAGGGTCCCCCCTTTGACACTTTTTCAGAAATCCATTTTTGGCCGACCGACCCTAAAATTTTTCTAAAGGCGCCTTTGGCGCCAATATATACTAACTTTGAGGGGGAGCGCGCGCCAAAAAAAACGCGATTTTTTGTCAAAATTTTTCAAAAAGTGCCCAAAAACGGCTTTTTTGACTGTTTTTTCAAAAATTTGCCTGCGGCGCACAAAATTTAGCCGAAATAGGGGCACAACAGTGCTTTGGGAGAGCTCGAAAAATCAATTTGGTCGACCTAAAAAAAAAAAGGTCGTCAAAATTTTCCAATTTTTTTTGAAAATCCCCCCCCCCCCCTCGAGAAAATCCTAGATCCGCCCCTGATCTAAAGCCGTAACAATTCAGAAATTTTAACGAGCAGAATATTTTTTATCAAGATCTATACATTTTTATTGTTTTGTGTTTAGGATTTCGTCTATCACGGCTGGATTAAACTTTCCATTGTTGTCAATAGCGACCAGATATTTCACCAGATTCGAGGAGTAGAAATATTGCAAATCAGGCGGAAGATCAGCAATCCACTTTTTACTGGTTTCTTTATCCAACATCACTGGCACCATGTGTTTCCTACACGTGGCGTTTTTCTATTGGTTCGCTCAAACTTGTTAAACTTATGCGAACTTTCTAAGGCTAGCAAAAAGCAAAACTGACTATTTTGCTGCCCCAAACCCCCCCCCCCCACTGCCCTCATACACCATTAAGACTTGCAAAAAAGATAATTGTTTTTCAATAATGTACTAACTGAATTTCAGCAACATTTTTAGACCATTAAAAACCATTCTTTGAATAAGAAACACAAATCAAACGTTTGATTGCGTGCCAAAAAAAATGCTGAAGCATTTTTTCATCTTTGAATTGTTTGCTTTTTATCTCTATACAAATATTTAATGGGCGGACCAATAGAAAAAAGTACCGATGGGCATCCGCCAAGCTGTTTTCTCGCATGCAGGGATCACTTTGCAAATACTCAGAACTAAACATCGCCAGGAAAACTCTGCAGTTTTTGATGCCCTGCACAATTTCGGCGCCCAGTGCTTGGCCTCCTGAAGTCTCTCGAATATCCCGCCAGATTTTCAAATTCGGGTCTTTTTTGCTCAAGCCTTCGTCTATTTGATTTACGAGGTCTTTATTAGCATGACAGTATGATATGAAAAAGTCAAACGACTTTTTGTCTTCCGAGTTCTCTGGTTTTTCTATATTATCTTCATGATATTGCTCAGAATCAACCTCGTTTTCTACGCTTTTCTCGTTTTCCGCAACTTTTTGGACAACCGATTTAGTTTCAGTGGAGCTTGCTTTGTTTTTGGAGGCCGATTCATTAGTTTGACCGTCTGATTTTTTCGACATGAGTTCTTTCAGAAGATTTCTCATATTCCCTTTTGAATACCCGAGTGGTGTCGTTCCTATTCGTGTATCGTCGTCAGGGTCATTGTCAGGAATTGTGGCGTCGGCCGAGTGTCTCATCAGTACCTAGAAAAGTTTTGACAGCTCGGCTCATCAGTATCGGCAGAAAAACAGCTCACGTTTCAAATGAATGCAATTTTTTAATGATTAAATCGATAAGAAATATGTCATATTTTTGCTTAAAATTGCGGATTTGTTATAAGAGTACTAATGAACTACGGGTTCCTAGCAGTTGTCCAAATTTCTCAAGTTGTTATCTATCCCTTCCCCCGATTTTTTCATAACTTATTTATCCGCTATGAAATACTTTCAAATAGTTATATAGCGCAAAGTTAAAAAGAAAAACTGTTTATCCTTAACTATAACTTAGAAAACGTTTTGAAAAAATTGTAATATCTGCCAGGAACTCCAGGATTAGTTGGTTAGGCAACACGTTTTTCAATCAATTCGATCAATGTGAGAAGTCTGTTCGAATCAAATTTATAATTGTTGACTCTATTTGTCAAATTTATCCAATACCTTCACACAATTCTGTTTTCCATGGATTACAGCCAAGTGCAAAGGAGTCTTGAAGTCGCCGTCTTTCATGTTTATGTCCACGGGGTGTTTGGATTTGTCCAAAATTTCCTCCAGCACTTCTGGAACCTGATCTAAACTACATTTTATGATTGGATAAATTAGATATTTTACCAATGTAAAGTATTTAATATTAACCAATCATGATCCATCTAACTAACAACCCACTTATTTGTAAGTGCTGAAGTTACTTGTAATTTCAGCACCAGAGAGATTTGAATTTAACTTAGAAAATAGTTGGACTCTCCCGAGCACTTCAGCAGCCGCAATAAACCAGTATACCCTAGATCTATTGAGCCTAGCAGAGACTAGTTAAACAACCTGAGACTAGATAGTATAAGAGTAAGATTAGGATCGGTATTAGAATAAGAAGTTGCACGAATCTATCCGGCCGAAAATAAGATAGCGTGACGAGCAGACGGTGTACCCTATCCGAAATTACTCTATGAGTTATACACTCCAGTCATAACTCATCTGGTGCGACCATAAGTCTCGAACAAGACCTTAATAGCTTAGAATTAACCAAAATAGATTACAAATTAGACAAAAACATTTACAAAATGTTATACGACAATAATTTAATCGAAATGTCTCTACGACTCAATAGATCAGAGCCAATATTCCGAACCATAACAGAACTACCCGGAATTGGAAGAAGACCTCGAACCAGAGACGACATACGACAAAGTAGAAACTTGCCATATAGCTATATGATAGTTAGGCAAAAACCAGAACAAACTTTTATATTTAGAATACTACTGGCAATGAATTTAGATTTTCATTTGCAAACATAAAACCTTGAAGTTAATCTTCAAAATCATTTCAGGCGCTAAACAAAATTATTAATATACAATAACGATTGATAAAAAGATCTAAGATCGTTTTCCTAAAACTCTGCAGTAATATACAAAACATGTTTGAAAAATATTTATTGAAAAATAAAAAATAAAAATTAGTAGCATGACAATAAATGGTTAGTAATCATAAATCATCCTGTTGTTCCAGCTCCATCACCTAAAACATAACAGCAATCATAAACCCACTAATATCATCAAAACACTAAATCTTTCCTTTACACACATTTAAAATTTTATTAAAACTTAAATTCACTTAATTTTAAAACCAGATCATCAAGGCTTATCCTTGGATCTTAAATCATTTTCTACTTAATTAAATTTCAAATTTGATCATCAAGGCTTATCCTTGGATCAAACAGAACAACTTTGTTCTCCCCCACCCACTTAATTAGTGTCTAACGACCTCAAACGTCGATTCACTACCCAACCCTTTCTAAAGACCTAAGACTAATAGAAATTTTTAAACAAAACTAATCATTCAAATTAGGATAAACAGTGAAGAACTTCGGTTATTCATCCTTCACTTGACCCCCCCTCTTACCAGACCCAGGATAAATCTTAGACTTAGTAAGTTTAAAATAGTATCTAACGAACTACTCGCGTTCTAATTATACCTGAACCCTGTGGATCGATTTACTATTCTCCAACCCTTGAACACAATCACTACCCCTAAGTAAGGTTAAGTAAGTTAACACCTTAACTTATACTAGCCACGAGAAAGTAAAAAATCATTCTTCGGAATCGATATACTTTTCTCTCCAACCCTGAACAAATAGACCCAGGTTAAGCTAACCAAAAAATCGTAAGAACTAACAGTTTAGGAAAATAGAAACCATTTAACAACCTTTTGCATCCGTCATCCTAAGCCTTATGTCATTTAAAAACCTAGGAAATAAACAAACAATCGTTTTACACAATTGTGAAATAGATAACAAAAAATACGACCTTGTAATCACACCTCATACACAAACAGTTGGATACATTCGAACAAAACGACAAACACTAAAAAGAAAAATAATAACGAAACAAAGACAAATAACACGAAAAAGATTTTCAAAAAATCGAAACGCATTTTCAGAATCAGAAACCAACAGTTTAGACGAACTTTACAAACTAAAAGAATCAAAAGATAAAAATTGCCCACTTCACGATCAATTATATTTTTCTGACTCAGAAACAACTTCAAATTCATCAAAAAGAGGAAAAAGAAGAATAAAAAAGCAGTATAAACACAAACCAGTACATTTATACAATTGGAATCAACCAATTCGACACATTAATAATTACATATTAACAGTCATCGAACGAAAAAATGAGCTCAACGCACACCCCAGGTGACGAAACCCCAGATGATGATGAAATCTTTCCTTTTATAGTAGATGCAACCACTGATAGAGGACAGCATATATTTTGCAAAAATTTACTATTAAATTTATTTGAACCCGGAATCAGTCCATGTAAAACAGAGTTCCCAGATGTAAAAATCAAAAGACAAATCATAGACCACTACTTAAAAGATATATGCAACATAACACAACAGTATGGAATCTACTCCATAGAATTCACCTCACCAAACCATAATCATAGAAAATATACAATCCAAACAGACGATCTTGATTTAGAATTTTCAAAAGTTTTTTCAGAATATATAAAAAGCATCCAATATCATAACTCACAAAGAGCAAACTCCATATTCACCAATGAAGTTTTCGCAATAATATATAGTTATATTTCGATATTAGAAAATGAAATCCCAATAACAAATGTCTCACCGACAGAAACATCTAAACATTTAAGAGTACGACATGAAATCACACTACTCTCTAGTTATTTAAACATCATTAAAGAAAATTTCACGAAAGACGACGTTTCACAACATACAAAACACGATCTACAAAAAATTTTGGCATGGTTCATAATAGATTATTTCACACACAATATTGATTTAATTGCACAAGCAAGAAAAAATTTTAGACCCCAAAACTCGAACGATGATACCGCTATCACAGAACAATCAGATTATGTTTGGGACCCCGAATGGTCTCATCCCGCATTTATAAGCTTCCCACAATCAATCTCAAGTCAAGCAATAAGTACGATATCTTACATAAGAGATTATGTAAGAGTAATACCATTCACCATTGATGCAACACCATTAAACTATAATACATTTTTGCCCGATACACAAAATAATAGTTTAAACTCTACAGTCATACACAATGAAAACCTCAATGGAACTAGGAATCTTACTCAACAAGATATCCAGACACCATCACACTTCATAAATGAAGAAATTGTACACACAACAACTACACAACAAAGTATTTCACCAATACGCCCAAATTTAACAACACCAAGAAATACAAATCCTTCACAAACACAGGTAACCTTACAATCAACCGTTAAACCTTCGGTTGCCCCTAAATATTCACATATAGATTACCAAACATACAGACCCATGACAATACCATCAAAAACACGCAAAACATTCACTAGAAACAACTTTACAGACCATAATTATAATTATACACATCCATCAAAAACATATAATCAACCACAAAGAAATTTTAACCAATATACAAGATCTCGAAATTGGGATAACCCAATGACCCAACCTAATTCAATAAATTTCCAAACAAATCCTCCACAGGATCACAGTGAAAATTACCCATTTTTTCAACAAAATAAAAATAAAAAACAGACATCTTATCAAATGGATTATTTATCCTCAGATGATGATTTCTTACAACCAGATATATTTGCACCAAATACTCAAGAATATCGTAGACAAGGAATACAGAAAACACGTACAAATCATAGAAATTTTTCTCCACAATCAATAGATGCACAACATCAACAACCAATTCAACAACAAAATCTAATTAATACACAATCTTTTCAACCAATTCAACAACAAAATCCAATGACTGCACACTCGTATCAACCATCACAAATGCAAAATGAAATACCACTCCCATATTATCTCCAACAACATGAAATAACAAGAAACCAACTTTCAAATTTTTCTCAAATGCCAAATGCAGCAGAATCATTACAAATGACAATGAATCCATACCTTATGGGTGGATCATCAATAACATCAAACAAACCTTTAATGGTTTTCACAGGAACAGACCCTGAATACTCTGTAGAAGATTATTTAAATGCAGTAACAGCAAACCTGATTTTAAATATTGGACCTGAACCAATTAATACGCCACTACATCAAAACTGGATACATCGACGCACAGCGTTAATACAAACAACCTTAGATGGCGCAGCCCAAAAATGGTTTTCAGTACTACCTCTAGAAATAAAATCAAACTGGAAAAGGTTTACACAGGAATTTTCAAAAATGTTTGACTCCGAAAGAAACAAACAACAACAAAGAGTTTTATGTAATGAAATTCGCAGATTACCAAACGAAACCATCAAGAAAATAGCAGTACGAATCGAAACACTAGTTCGAAAAGCATATTCATTAAATACACATGACTATAAAAACACAAAGATGACAGAAATCTTAATGATGACCTTAACACCACAATTAAGGAAAATAGCAATAAAAAAGGGAGCATCCCATCCTTCTTCAATTCGAGAACCCGATTTAGATTTTCGAAAACTAGTAGACAAATTAGAACAAGCAGAAATCACGATGAAACTAGAAGAAACGGAAAATCTGAAATTACAATACGTTAACAGAATTGAAACGACTCCCACTAATATTAATAATATACAGGAATCAGAGACAGACCTCGTTGAAAAAATCACTGAAATACTCAATATTTACGAAAAGAACCCAAACTTTAAAGGCAAACCATCTTTCAAAAAATGGTGTAATTATTGCCGACGATACGGACATAGTATTTCCGAATGTAGACAAAAACAGCAAGACAATCAAAATAAACCTCAAAAATATAAAGAACCAAATAAATCATTCCATCAATACATGAAAAAAGATCAAAACCTACCGAACAAAACAGTCTACAGCAACAACAGTTCAGGAAAACCACTCCCGAACAATACAAATTATACAAGAAATCAATCACCATATAACTCAAGTTATAGAGGAAGATCACCAGAACGAAGAAACACGCAAAATTCATCACAAAATCACTACAATAGACCAAATAGTAGAAGTAACTACTCCAGATCAAATTCAAATACACAACGATTTGTTTCTAGATCTAATTCCCAATCAAGAAA